TGCTACGCCGCGTCCTCCCACAACGCCTGCGATCGAAACCGCCCCAGTCGCTATTCCAAAGGCTGGCGCATCTTCACAAAGCGCGCCAACAGCTGCGCGACCAGTATCCGGACTTGGCGCTCGTCCTGCAACGGCAACATTGGCAAAGGCAATGTCATTTACGTGGCACTTACCTCCAGCAAACGCTGCACCGTCCAATGCTCCAAGAGCAGCGCCATGCGCACAATATCCAACGAATACCACGCGTCTGGCATCGGGGCCCAGCGGTCTTCCTGCAGAGACGCCGTTAGTAACTGCAGTTGCGGGTGGCCCGCTTCCTATTCGCTCCACCGTCCTCCCCCCAGGAAGAACACCCGGCGGGCGGCATCCAATGGACACCCTTGGACCATCTCAAATCCCTCGCAATACCATCGGCGGGGCTACACTCAACCCACTCGCAGGGACTCAAACAAGGCTCCCAGGAGTTGCTGCTATGATTCCGAACCTCGGCATACCGACAAATGGCCCAAACTTTGCCTCGGCAATAAGGCCCTTACCGCGGCCTTCAACGGACACCCTTGGACCATTTCAAATGCCTCGCAATACCATCGGCGGGGCTACACTCAATCCACTCGCAGGGACTCAAACAACGCTTCCAGGAGTTGCTGCTGCTATTCCGAACCTCGGCACACCGACAAATGCTCCAAACTCTGCCTCAGCAAGAAGGCCCTTACCTCCCGAAATGAAGTTCGTAAGGAAGGACGCAAATAACGTGATGGAATACCTGCTGTTGGAGTGGTTTCGGCCGCATCTTAGATTCGTTCTGTGGCGGTCAACGCAGAAATCGCATCCGGCTGCTGATCCCAATGTTATGATGGATGCATTGTGTCGACTGTCTCTGGGCTTGCCGATAAGGTAATATGACTTCAATCAGAAAAATCCGGCAGATCCATTGTCTCTCATATTCAATCTATGCTATTATTTCGTTCAATTCAGCAGGCATGGTGGTTTCTCGTCAGAAGTCGTATTCAACGCAGTGACTTATTTCATACTCGCAACTTATCTCCGTCTCTTGCCTTCGAACATTCCGCCTATTGACTTCGACACCCTGCCCGCCCTCCGCCTCTCGATCAACGCAGAGTCCACGTGGTGCCCTCTATTTCGACCGGCCTATAATCTGCCTACGTCTTTCGGGCCAGAGATGTGGAATGGGTTAATGCCATGGTTCATGAGTGTGGTGGAAAGCGTCGGGCAGGACTTCCAGGGCGGTGCGGGGGTCAATACACCCCTGTATAATGCATGGAAGATATGCCTTGCTATGCAGTGTTTTCCGGCGCCGCTGGTGTTGACGCTGGGATTGTCAAGGCCATTTGAAGGCGGTGAGTGCGTCAAGGTTGCCCTTTCCATTCTTTCATGCACTTCTCGTAAAATTATGATGCGCTTTCCAGGTAATACAAGCCCTGTTGAGCGGGCCATGTGCATCATTCACGCTCTGAATAACATCACACCTCCGCCCACTCTTACGAGACGCCTGCAATTTCGACAACTCGATTCAATGTTCAAAATTGTAGTCTCTGGGAACCTATCGGCTAACTGGTTTGCCAACCCGTACGTTCCTAATGACCGGCGCATGATATTGCCTTCCATTCCGCTCCAAATAGCAAAATTACTTCGCCAAGGAGTCCGAACCGGATTGCTGCACGCGCGGGACCATGCGAAAGCCATGATGGCCATGTTTTCATCACCAGTTGGCTTTGGAGATGCGGTAAAGGTTTTGATGGAAATCAGATCTGGGCAGTTTTCTGAAGGCGCGGATGATGAGAGCCACCGTCAATCAATGCAAAATATCAGAGCCCTTGATGAAGATGCTATCTTGGGGGAGCGGGCTGGCGTCTGGGGATACCGGACTGTGCCTGGCGCCGCGGCAAACCAGGGCGGAAGCATGCAAGGCGCAAACGCGGGAGCTGGTGTTACAAGGCAGCCCACCCAGCACGCTGGCCTGAAGAACAAGGGCGAAACCGCCGAGGACCCGATTGAGGTGTCAGACGACGATGAGCCTGCCCAGCCGGTGCTTTCCGACAATATTCCGCGCTCAGAGCAGGCACCGGAGTCAGAGCCACAGCAGCAACAGCAACAGCAACGGCAACAGCAACAGCAACGGCAACAGCAACAGCAACAGCAACAGCAGCAACAGCAACATTACCAGCAGCAGGACGAGCGAGGTACGGAGCATCCCCAACCGAACAACAGCCCTCTACGGCCAGCGGTTGCTCCAGTTGCTTCCTACATTCCTCTCACCCCGTCACCATCGCTCAGGAGCACTTCACCGTCTTCGAATCCCCCAATGACGACAACCTCGGTAGGGACGCCGCCACCAGTGAAGGCTGGGGGTATATCGGGGCATCGCATCATACATCGGACGGGAGAAGGCGCATATTATGCGGTCGCAGAAGGAGGAGACGGGCCGCCTCCGGAGGGTGTGGTGCCTTCACCGCCTGGGTTCTTGGAAATGGCAAAAACAATTGCGGAGAAGGTGAAAATGTGGCAGGAGGAGGGATCCTTGTTTTGAATTGATTTGCGATGCTAGCGTGACAAGTTTTCATGCTGGTCGAATTGATGTGTAATGCTTCGCTTTTGTTTGGCGAGATGCCGTTGTAATATAATTGCGGGATACCTGCAAAATTCAGAAAGCTGCCATCGCTTCAAATATATATATGGCAATACTCGAACTTTCGTTCTTAACTAAATATCAGGAGACTCGGGAACACTAATTCATATCACTTGTCATTGTGGTCCATTTCTCTTTATGCAATAACAATTTCATCAAAGGGGGTCGAGGCGAGGTGCCTCTTCAGCCGGTAAATTCTTCATCAAGCAGCACATACACCCATTCCAGGCCAGGAACTTGGCCGAGCCCACTGGGCGGTTAGGATAAGTCCACAGGGAAAAGTGATGAAATGCAGTAGACGTGGACACGTTAACATATAAGAACTGGTGAACACTGCGCGTAAAAGCAGACGTTGACGAAGGCGCAGGTGACTTGCATAAGCATTGGGGGATACCCGAACCAAGCCCAGCGCTGCGTCGGACCTCGTTTGAAATCGAGCAGTTGAAGAAACTTCAATTCTTCCAAGATACCCACCCATTGCAATTCGAGGTATGTGTGGCAAAAAAGTCAGCCTATTATCGGGCGGGTGTCTTTCGTTGTTGCTAAAGGATGGTAGAGGGGAGGGGGCTTCTTTTGATCATTTTGTAACCTCTGAATTCCGACAACCGTGTAGTTGATGCCTCCACTTCGCCGAGTTGTTGTCACCGGATTGGGCCTGGTCACCCCGCTTGGTACAGGCGTCACAACTACGTGGTCTCGCTTGCTTGCAGCACAATGCGGCGTCGTATCTCTCAAAGGGCGCGTGCACGAGCCGACCGGCAGATCTTACCAGGACATTCCGAGCCAGGTCGCGGCCTTGGTCAAAACGGGAAAGGAGGAGGGCGACTTTGATGTGGAAAAGTGGATTGCAAAGGGCGATGACCGCAGATTGGCTCCATTCATGCATTACGCCTTGTCTGCGACGCAGCAGGCGTTGGAGGACGCAAAATGGTTGCCCGAAAACGAGGAGGACAGAGTACGGACGGGCGTATGCATAGGATCAGGCATTGGCTGCATTGACGAAATTGAAACAACCGCCAACGCCTTCGCTCAATACGGGATGAAGAAGCTGAGTCCGTTCTTTATCCCCAAAATATTAATCAACCTCGCCGCGGGGCACGTGAGCATGAAGTACGGATTTCAGGGTCCTAACCATTCGGCGTCAACCGCCTGCACGACCGGTGCTCACTCGATCGGAGATGCATCGCGCTTCATCCAATTTGGCGACGCAGACGTTATGGTGGCGGGTGGTTCGGAAGCGAGTGTATCTCCCTTGGCCATGGCCGGCTTTGCAAAAGCCCGTGCCCTCTCGACAAAATTCAACGACACACCCGAGCAGTCTTCTCGTCCTTTTGACCGTGACCGTGATGGATTTGTTATCGGTGAAGGCGCCGGATGTGTGGTTTTGGAGGAGTATGAACACGCGAAACGGCGCGGGGCACGGATTTATGCGGAGTTGCGTGGGTACGGTCTTTCTGGCGATGCACATCACATTACAGCGCCGCCAGAAGATGGTCGAGGGGCTGCTCTTGCAATGAGCAGAGCACTGCAAGTTGGAGGGGTGTCGCCTGAAGACGTAGATTACGTTAATGCCCACGCAACGTCTACGGGGCAGGGCGACCTGGCCGAGACGAGGGCAATCAAAAAGGTCTTTGCAGGACCGGCGCTCGATAAACTGGCCGTGTCGTCAACAAAGGGTGCCATCGGGCACCTCTTGGGAGCGGCGGGGGCAGTGGAGGCCATCTTTGCTATTCTAGCCGTTCATCACGACGCTCTCCCTCCGACCCTAAATCTGCACAATCTAGAACCCCGAGAGGAGTTTTCCTTGGATTATGTGCCGCTGCAGGCGAGGGATTTGAAGGGAAGTGGGAGGAGGGTGCGCGGGGCCCTAACAAACAGTTTTGGTTTTGGCGGAACGAACGCCTCGTTGGTATTCACCAAAGTGGAGTGAAAATGTGCATACCCCTTGCTGTTGTCGATAAACAATGTCAACTTTTTTGAAGGCCAGGCGTGAAAGGCACATTGACTTGAGAGTTAAGTTCACTGGCAATGCGTAGAACGACATGGTTCGAGTTGCAGTTCGAATATGGGTTGCGCTTATGTTATTACGAGTTTAATTTGACAGGAATAAATTCATTGCTCTCATCAACCACGAGCATTAATTAAAGGTCAACAGGGCGAAAGGGGACGTTCACCCAAATAAACCCCACGCTGGTGAAACGCGACTCACCAATGTGGTTGGAATAAAATTCAATGTTCACACCAAACATGGGCCAAAAATGTCAACAACACGAAAGGTTACGTTCGGCCAAAACGCTCGACTCACCAAAAGAGGAGGAAAAACTTGTTTGACAGTATCGAAACTTGGATATCACGCCCGAACTGGGGCTCGAACCCAGGACCTTGCGGTTAAAAGCCGCACGCTCTACCAACTGTGCTATTCGGGCCCTTGATTTTGGCTCTAACGGTTCTAATCAATGTATGTCCGGGTGCAACCGTCGCAGGCATTTCCCCCAACCTCTTTTTCGGTTTTTCATTTTCCTGCATCACATTGTATTACATACACTACCCCTGGAGCAGTAAAGCTAATCGCACCTCCAACACCACCACCACCAGCTTTTTTCCGCTCACCCCACTCTCTCCCATCGTGCTGTTAATTTGTGTTGTCGGAGCACAACCGACTGCGCGCGGTATCCAGTAGTAGGGATACCACCATTGAAGCCCAACTTGGGGCCCAAAATGAATTTTTAGATGTAAATCCTTGACCCCAGATATTATATCAGGCATGCCAACCGACTTCACGTCTGTTAACTTAACTATACTATTATCTATCTGGAAGTGGAACATAGAATCCAGTCTAATGTGACGAGTAGATGCTAATCCAATTTAACCAAGGCAGTGTTAACCTTTGTTTGATGATACTCACGGCCACGACCCCAATCATAGATTCTGGAATTATGATGTCCGCAAACGGGGCCAATCCAATGGCCAACTTTGCCTTGGATGTGCAGATGGCCACCAAAATTAGGCCGTTCGCCCACACCCCAGGAATACACAAACGCTGGCATATCTCCTAGTTCTCAATTCCCAATAATCGATCCAACTGCCTCCCGGTGCCCTATCGTCACTGGTATAATTTGCGCCCAATACATTGAATGCTCCGCGGTAAGCGTCGTCGTTGACAGTAAATGTTGTTTCCGAGGTTGAGATGCCCTTGCCACCATACAGCCGTGCAATCAGTTCATCCTTTCGTCCTGAGAGTGGCAGTCCTGTAGGAGGAGTCGCGTGAGCAAGAGCAGTTAAAATCAAATGGATACATAAAAAATGCCATGGCTCACCGCTCTCCCAACAAAAGTCCTTTAGCTCCTCAACCGTCAGATCGTATGGATCAAATGAACCACTCCTACTCTGGTCTGAACGCGTGCTCCCTCCACGCAAAACGTGCGACAAGTTCATCCTTGCGACCTGACACTGGCAGTCCTGATATTGCGCATGTGGATGAATTGCCAGTGTTCATTTGCTTAAATATTTTTGGTGGGGAGTGGCACTGGCAAGGACGGAAACGCTAGGGGGATGTAGGACTTGCAAAGGTTTGCACCCATTGATTTTTGCCATGAATGGCTTCCAGAAGCATCGGCGTCCCCGCGCACCAATTTTATATTCGATCAGATGCCAGCCCGAAATGCGGGATTATCTTTGGTAATCAAACATTTTCGCGAGGCCCATTTCCAAGAGACAAATAAAAAGCAGCAGCCCCTCTGTCGCATTCCTATATATCAACTTACCTTCGTTCCTTATTGACTCTGCCTCTTCCTCGCTCTCCGTCCCCTTCTGTTGATCCCGTTCTTTAACGCGTCCAACACAGCACGGTTCACCCCTTCCTCGTCTCCTCTCCGCTCTCAACGTTCCACCGCACACCCGCGTTTCCCTACCCTTATCGCTACGCAAAAACCTTCTCTCTCTCCACACACACACACACACACACACACAACACACACACACACACACACACGATGACGTCCCCCGATAACACAAGTGACAAGGGGTTTGGGAAGGTTATGTCTGGTCAGTACATTTTGCCCCTTTTCTCTTCTCTGATATGAGGAGTGTTAAACTAACGTGGGTTTGTGCGTGCGGGGTGGGGTGGCTGTATAAACAGATTTGGGTAAGAAACTAGCACGACGACAAGGTCCCGAGGAGTTGGTGCAGCGGAATATTCTGCGAGGTTCGTTTGCTAACCCCCACACTACACTCCACTCGCTTCTATTTGTATTTGGATACCCAACCCCGACTCACCGTAATGTGGATTCTTTAAAACCAGAGGACGAACTCCGCCCCGAAGTCTCCAACACGATCGTGCAACAAAAAATGGCGCTCGAAGCCGAAAAGACAAAGGACGCGTTGAATCGGCGGTTGGGGAATCGGCCGTCCAAGGTTGATTTGAAGTTGAGGAATATCTTACGAGGTGGGTGGTGGGGTATCCGACTGTGTTGAACCGTTCTTTTTTTTTTTTTGGAGAGGGTGTTAACGGAAAAGGTGTTGTTGTTTTTTTTTAGTGGATAGCGTGGAGAGTCTAGATACGTCGGGGGAGGTGGTGGACAAGAGTATGAATTTTGAAGTACGTCAGCAGCAGTTGAAGAGTTGTCTGAAGAAGAGGCCGGAGAAGGGGGTTTTGGAGGAGATGAATGTTATCAAAGGTAGGGTTTCTTCTTCTCTAGTGGGGCCCTCGGTGGATTTGCCAAAAACGAGTACTAATCGAAAATCTCACGACCACAAACAGGAGGCGGCCTGGACCCCTCCCTCATCGCGACCCAAGAACGTCTGAAACGCTCTCAACTCGAGGACATTCTCAATTCCCGTCTCGCCGAGCGCCCGGACATTGAAGAGCTCGAAGCCGCACGTATCTTAAACTTTGCCGAGACGGTCGAAGTCCTCCCGACGTTCAGAAAGAGCGAGTATAACCGTAAACCCGATGCGAATGCGACGTTTAGGAAGTTGACGCCGCAGATGAAGGTGGCGATTCGTGAGGAGTTGAATACGTTCAAGAAACATGAGATGCCGGTGCACCAAGAGAGTGAGTAGTGAGAATTGTGGTGGTTTCGGAGAAGTCAGATCTGGATTCATGGGTATCCGAGTACTCATATTGATGATTTCCTTTGATGATAGGTATACGCAACACATGCTTCCACTAGTAGTCGTAGTAATAGTCGTGCTCTGTACGTACAGTGCTGCACAAAGGACATGGATGCTTGGTTTAGAGTTTAGATCATAGCATGGACGCGGTGTCTCGGTTGGGCAGGGAGGAGTATCGTAGTATTTTTGTAGGGTAATACCATTGTAATGCGAATCTTTTAGGATAGGGGAGGACCAGGCCTTTGATTTTCCAGTTTCCAGCTGAATAGTTTTAAAGTTAAAGTGGAGATATGGAACTAGAGGCACGCTGGGCACTACTATCTATTCAAAGTAATGAGCGTATGCACATCTTGATTCTTCTGCGCGTACGCCTTCAAACGGATCGCTTGAATTTTAATAAATGCCTCAGAGTCCGATGGGTTGAAACCTCCCGCCTTGTCCATTGACGCCATCTTTGCGTTGTAAAGGGAGTTTGGAGACCGTCAGTGGTGTTTTGTGAGAATACGTACTTGGTCAATGAGCGTCGGCGTGGAACAAGGCAGCCTTTTTCACCTTTGCTGTTTTGAGTGGAGGAAGTCGACTGAGCGTATCACTTAGTCTATCTACCTACATCACTCGATGGCTCCAAACATGCATTGAAATATTGCAAGTAGTTGCGGGCCTGCCGTCACAACAGGTCCACCCTCCACCTGATCCATCAAGGACAGTAAGGACGACGAGGACGAGGTTGAAAACGAGAGATGGGAACATGACGCGTATTCCTACTCAGTTGACTTGTTCCAGTTGTCCCCAGTTGTCCCCAGTTGTCCCCAGTTGTCCCCAGTTGTGCGCGCCGTTGGTGTTTTGTGGCTTTTGTGGCACCGCATCCAACTTTATCGTCGAACATAAGGTTTTTTTTGGGTGGCTCAGTTTTGGTCAGATTCCAAGCAATGTGGCGCAGTCAAACAACACCAAACACGAAACGCGAAACGCGCCCAGGAGCACAACTGATGGATTTGTGTGTGTGTTTGTTCTTTTTTTGGTTGCTATCGGGATTCTGGAATTAAACTTAGGGAAATGGAAAATATCAGATATGGACAGAAAGAAAACACACAAAATGTCCCTTTTTGACCTCCCATCCTTCTTGACACTCTTTTCAAGCAGTCATGTTCATCCCTCGCTCAAGTCGCCTGCGTTCTCCATTACTTTGGATAGCCTTGCTCCTCATTGGCTCAATCTTACTCTGTTGCCGCTATACTCAGGTACCGTATTTTGGTCTAGTATAACCATCTCTCCACCCCATCGCCACCCCTTGTTGAAACTGTCAACTTCAAAAGCAGAAAAGACTTGCGTCCTCCTCTCACCCCGCACGCCCCGCACGCCCACCATCCCAAACTTCCCCATCATCCCCATCATCCCTTGTTGAAAGTGTCAACTTGAAGCAGACACTTGCGTCCTCCACTCGCCCAACCGCACCTCCCGCACCTCCCGCACGCCTATCATCTAAACCATCCCCAAAAGTCCATTTCCTCATCGCAATAACCAAACCTAGCCCCAAATTCTGCCGCACACTATCAACAGCCTTGCTGCATGATGGCTACGAGCCAGTCCTTCTCAACTATGGAAGACACAGCAAAGTAAACAACCTCAACAAAGTCAAGAAACTCCAAGGCGTCTACGACTATCTCCTTCAAAACACCACCGCGTCGCACCTATTAAACTCGACCAATTACACCCCACCTTCCAAACTTACCCATCCCGCAGACGACGACATTGTCATCATGATCGACGGTCTCGACGTATGGATCCAATCCTCCCTCCCTTCCCTCCTAACCAAATTCCGCGCTCAACCCCACCGCATCGTATTCGGCGCCGACAAAAAATGCTGGCCAAACCATCCACGATCACCTGAATGCACCGCTATCCCTCACTCTCCCCTCCCCCGCGATGTGTATGGCAACAAAACAGATACGGGACACATGGAGGGCGGGAAAAGCGTCGATTATGAACTCAACCGCCCGCGATGGGTCAATTCAGGCACCGTCATCGGGTACGCTACCGACCTGGCCGTGATGTACCAGGACGTGATGGCGTACGTTACCCCGCGAGTACAGAAACTCACGTCGGACCAGTACGTTGTCGCACAATTCTTTGCAAAGGGTGCGATGTACAATGTCAGTTTGGATTACACGTCCACCATGTTTCAAACTATGGCGTTCTCACACTTTGATGTGGAGTTTACGAAAACGACGCGAGTTATGCGGAATAAAGTGACGGGGGTGGAACCGGCGTTGGTGCATTTCAATGGGTGGAAGCCCCCGTTTGAGACGTGGTG